TTCATGTGTTATCTCAAATTATGATTTTACGAACTAAATTGAAATTTCTATTTCATTAGCCGCATCAATCATTCATTATTATACAAACTGTCAGATACGAGGTAAAAATGGGTTTAGAAAATGCAATTATTATTTTCCACTCTGTGATTTCATCTAAATAAGAATTAATTAATCTGAAAATCCTCTATCACTTTTTATTATATTTCCTCCAAAATGTTTTTCGCTAAGGTAGTAAGCGGTTTGTGACAATTACTGAAAAATCTAAAAAATAAGATAAAATTGCACGAAATAAATTTTCGTAATTCTTAAATTGGATATTTTTCAAGTGATTGGCGGGACGGGGAAGTTCTTGTCTGGATTTAGATCCGAAGTTGGTATTTAATAGACTATCTTGAAACACAATTAAATGAGGTTACGAAACATCAATTGTCAAATAAATCTGAAAACAAACAAGGAAGGACGGAAGTTCAGTTTTCTAATAATTTAATTGCATTTCGAATCTTATCAAACCACAAATTTCTTACTATTTTGACCTGAACTATGGATCGTGGGCCCATTTTGGGCTCTACAATAAATATTTAAATAGCCAAAATCGCGTATCGTCGCTCCTACTCGTTAAAAACTAATTTCGAAGGAAATCAAAATTTTTAACAGCTAAGTAGCCGGAATTTCTGTTCCACTAATTTAGATTCAACATTTCTGTTTTAAACAAAGATTTTCTGCTCCTTTACAACATTTAGCTTTAACATTTCTGTTTTAAATGCAGATTTTCTGTTTCTTCACAACATTTAGCTTTAACATTTCTGTCTTAAATTCAGATTTTCTGTTTCTTCACAACATTTAGCTTTAACATTTCTGTTTTAAATGCAGATTTTCTGTTTCTTCACAACGTTTAGCTTTAACATTTCTGTTTTAAATGCAGATTTTCAGTTTCTTCACAACATTTAGCTTTGACATTTCTGTTTTAAACGAAGACTATCTGTTTCTTCACAAAACTTCTTCACATTTTATTCTTTTCTTAAACCTAAAACCTATCACTCTTTCATAATAAGATCTTCAACTATCTTAAAATTATCAAATGTATAGATTTTTGCTGCTACCTTCTTTAGAGTTTTTATTTTCTGGTAGTAGCAACATGTATTCTTTAACTATTCGATTATTGGTTTAATTAAATGTGATAAAAAGAGATTTAGACCACCACAACATATAAACATTTCAAAACGTTGTTCAATAATCTCATAATTATACAAATATGATTTAAGTACTGGCTAAATTGCATAAATTTATACTAAGTCAAATTTCAGTTGAATTTTTCGAAAAAGAAAGTATTTTAAAATATAAGTTTAAGTTGGTAGATACGGATCCAAAATATATTCTGACAACTTTTTAGAATTATGTCAATAACAGGAAAATATAAGTTTACACGTTTACTTGCCATAAAAATTCCTAATACAGTTGCTTTTCGCCAGGGGAGTTTGTAAATATAAAGTAAAAAATAGTTACAATAACTTATCGTTAACTCATTTACTGAACTGAGCTGAAGTGTATTAAATATCTGTGCACCTAAGGCCACTTGTGGCCTTAAGTGTATATAATGCTTATGTATGTCGGGAATATCATGCGTCACTGCAATAGTGAGCTGCTATTGGTCTAATGTTCTTGCCTTCAATTAAATTTCAATATGGGAATATTTTATTGAAATTTGAGCAAGAGATGGCTTTTTCATAGAATTTCATATTTGATTTACCTATATATTTGTCTATTGCATTGATTTTGAGGTCGTGGTGTACTTATTGCGTCGTTTCTTACGAACCATCTGGCTTTTACTATCCTTATCAACGCATTTAAACGTCGTTTTATGGGATTCGAAGCAAGTAGAGAAATTTAAAAAGTGGTATCAATCTAAAAAGCAGTATTTTATTGTGTTCGTGAACTAGAATGTTTTATTTACTCCACGTAAATATGTCTAAAGACTGATTTTTTGAACACTCTAATGAGAGCGAATACTAAAATTTTTAAGCTTCTTTTTAAAAAAATTTAACAAATTTCGTTTTAAAAAATAAAAGTTTTTAATTTTTTCAGATGCATATGAACCCTGTTGTAACCCATTTCGGAAGAACGTTTCTGTAAGCTTAATTTTTTAAAAAATATATGGATTGGCTATTCAATTTATTTAATATCTGAAATTTTTCGAAAAGAAAACCATTCGGATATCTAATTATATTGCTATCTGAAGATGCATGGTATTTAAAAACTGAAGTGTTAAACACAAGAAAGTATTAAATTAGTTTGAGCATAAATGCCCTACCAATTTTTACCATTATCCAAAATTGTTTCTCGTTCTTTATTTCTACCATTAAATTTTATAAATTGAAAATATTGGTAAAACTCAATATAATATTTAGGAATAATAAAAATAATCAAACCCAATTTCCTTGCACCAAATCAAAATGATACAGGTAACATATGGGGGCAGGTCTGCCAACTTTCTACGCCTTTCGGAAGAATTTATTCTAGTGGTGTTTATGTTTTAATCTTCCTTTTATAAATTTGGTAAGAAGTTTTTTTTTTCTCACCACTACTTGTAAATGAATCGAAAGTTTATATAAAACGCCACTTCATATGAGGTTAGGCTGCTTTTAAAATATTGAAAAAATAACCAAACATTCTGAAAGCTTTAGTTTTTGATTATCTACCACTCAATGAAATATTTTTTATGAAGCATAGTAGTTGGCATATCCCTCTATATGGATTAATTTGTTTCTTAATCTAATTTCAGGATGAATGGTAAAAGGGCAGTAAGGCCTCAGACGCCCAGTTCCATTACAACGAACAATATGGATTCATTTCTGATATTTATCAGATCCACCAACTGCTGAAAAACCATCATCGATCCTACATCTTCGACGAATTGGTTAATGCCACTTACCGATATTTGCTGAATTTCTAATGCATGGATTAATTTTGATCCATAAAAATTTTTATGACTTAGAAATAAATTAGTAAAGGTTATTCGTAATATTTCACAATTGTTTGCCGTTTAACAATATGTAAACGCATTAAAACAGATCGGCAAAAACTTTATTACTGATAGCACAATCGTTCCATTCTTAGTTTTAATCTTTGAAAATGAAACATTCTGGACCTTCGGCGATATTCGTAAAATATTGTTCAAAAAGTAATATTTTATGATTATCACCAAAAATGAAATTCAGGGATAGCAAACATTAGAAATTACCCACTTAATTTAAACATTAATGAGCTACAACATTTACTTTAAAATCACTTTTTACATCATTTTCGTATATGAGTGTTTATGGATTAATATTTATAACGATTCGTTTATGCTACTTAAATCGTAGATTTTATGCCCTTACAAAGACAGGAGTTTTAAACTTCTCTCAATAATTGTTTAACTATTTTATTCCAGGTTCATATTCTTTCAGAGGTTGGAGGAAGTGCTGTAGAAGATTTTGTTCCATGGTTATCGTCAACAACTTTTTTAATCGAACATTTTTCTTATTCTTACTGTTGTTCATTATGTATACATGACATAAAAAGAATTTCCTTTTAATATATTTAAAAGAATCTTGGAAACTTTCTTAGTCTTGACTCTTTCTTTCATTGTAATGTATTTCTTAATTTTATTTACCAAAAACATGTTATGAGTGAGTCGGGACACGGCTCGACTCCGACTGACGTTAAGGAGTGATTAAAAAAAAACTTTTTTTCTTATAAAAATTATTTAAACAAATATTTATAATTATGTGAAAAACTATCACTCAAATAAATATTTTGATAATTATTTAAATTATGACTCATTAAACTATTAAAATTTTTTTAAAAAGTTCAGAAAAATTTAGAAACTATTGTGACATCTACATTAATAAATATATCTAATTAGTGTCTTTTAATTTATTGACCGGTATTTTTCATAAGTCGATANTATTTTGATAATTATTTGAATTATGACTCATTAAACTATAAAATTTTTTTTAAAAGTTCAGAAAAATTTAGAAACTATTGTGACATCTACATTAATAAATATATTTAATTAGTATCTTTTAATTTATAAAATCCAAAACCAAATTTATAATTAATTTTATTAAAAATATATGCAAATGAGTGTAATATATTCTAGAAATAGTTTCATAGTGCATAAATATTTACTAAAAAAATTTCTTGTCATTAAGTGATTATACATGTGTGTGAGATTGAGAAGTTGACACATAGTTCAGTGGTTTAGTACGATTTCAATCTTTGTACAGATTTTTCTTTCTTTTTTTTATAATTCATTTATTATATTATAGTATTAAAAACGCTACGTTAAGTAAAATGTTCTTAACCCTAATTGCGCATAAAATAGAGAAATCTATAATTTACAATTACCTTCCAAACAATAAAAATACTTTTCCTAATTTCCAAGCTACCTCGAATAGAAGTCGAAGTCAAACTACCTCGAAAAGCCGCAGTTGGAGTTAACTATCGACTTTCTATCTCTGGTAACTAATGTTAGTCATTAAAAATTTTAAAATTTTTCCCTAAATGTGAAAGCAACATAAAGAATTATAAATTGAATTATTGATTGTAAATTTTTATAGGTCGTTTATTAAATTATTTGCTTTGTATCTTAACAGTTTAATTAATCCGTTTGAGTAAATTAAATTTTTGTAAAATTTAAAAACAAAAAGGGCTGATTTTAGAGAAGATATTTATTTAAAAATATGATTTATGAAAAATGAATCAACAATCATTAAATTAATTAAAAATAATATAGTTTTCAAAGTAACATAATCGGCAGTTATTTATTTTATTTAAAAATTAAGTTTGATGCTCGTTGAAATTCGATATAAATTAAGTTTTATATTGAACGTGGAAATTAATTTTTTTTTTTTTATTCATTGTAAAAATATCAATTAAAACATTTTTCTTCAAACAATATTTGCGTATATATAAATTAAAACTATCAAAATAAGCCAATATATTTAATTATTACTCACAGCAAACTTGGTAAACCAGTCGCAAAACATCGTAAACTGTAGGAACTTTACCACCATCAGAAAAACTTAAAACTAATACTGTGAATATCCACAAAATAAATATCGTTCTCGCCATGACTTTTTTTTTAACGTTTTAAATTAAATAAATGATTTAATCTATTTTTATTTAGCTTTGTTTGTGTATTAAATGACACAACAAGAGAGAACAGCAATTCACGAACACAGATCGCGGATGAAGATTCGTTTTGAATTAAACCGGCAGCCGACACGTTTTTTACTTTATAAGAGATGCGAATTGTCAACAAACGATTGCCTCATTTTGTGATTTATCGCTGTATTTGGCAATATCTTGAAATCTTTTGAATGGAATTCTTTTTATCGTTATCTTAACGTAAGGAAAAGATAGAGTAATATTTACGTTATGTTTTTGAGATGTATTTTTTTATGTAATGAAGAAGAGGTTCAGAGATGTGTACAGTCTTTGGTTATCTTAAAATAAATGGCAATACTCAAGTCTCAAAAAAACATCACGAGACTTAAAAATAGCTGCACGTGTTCGAATTTGACCTACTTGAATTTATCTATTATTTCACGTGATTTTATACGCCTAAACAAATAAAAAATGACATTGAAACAACCTCTCTGCATGATTAATTATGATTATCAATAATATAACGGAATTTCATATAAGGCCGAAATGGGTAATTTCATACTACAAAAATCTAATGATGTTTTCCATTGTTGTCAATACATTTTTATTGGCTGGAAAATCACATGGTAGAATCCAGTTTTCCCACATTAATTTTCATATTGGTTTGGTTGTCACCAGCATAAAATTAATATAAGTCATAAAAATATTGTTTTCCTATAAATATTTTTGCTTCCCCAACTTAAGGGCGCTTTTTCATTACACGACACGATACCGACAAAATCGGACGACAAATGTGTGAACGACAATGTCGTTGCCGGATCGTTTAAGCAATTGTTTTTTCACNTAAATATTTTTGCTTCCCCAACTTAAAGATTAAAATTACCGTACTGTTATTATTACGTTTTTTATTTTGTTTATTTTCGAAATTAAGACTTTTGGAGGATTGTTTTTATTAGTATTATTATAATAATGTAATTCTACGTTACATTTTAAGAAAATGTTATTTAAATCGGTGTCGGATCTTATTAATCGTTTTACAATTATTATTTTTTGGTGCAAATTACATTAATATATGATTATGAATAGCGGTTAAAGAGATTTGTTAAATGATATAGAACTTTACTTTCCGCTTCATGCACAAAGTGATGAATGCAAAAATTGTATTTAAAATACATTCGTACGTTTGGTAAGCAAAAACAATTCAGGGCCGGCCCCAGGGTAGGGCGATCCGTGTGGCCGCCCGGAGCGCAATGATCTAGGGGCGCCAAAATGATAGTTGACAAGATTGAGAGGCGGCAGGCAGAATTTATCATTTTTATTTCTAAGCACATAATTCAAATAATATAATATATTTAAACATTAAGGCAAAATCTAGTTGAATCCAATTCAACATGACAAAACCACTCAATCACCGCCTTTCAAGAATTGACAAGTTTTTCGGCCCCTGGAAACAACAATTTTGAAACCAAGCGAATCAAGATCTAACAGCCCTTTTTAACTCCATATAAAAAGGAAGTAGACTTAAAACAATGCATTATTTGCCACTAGAGTTCGGCTGGTGCGAAATAAAATAGTTTGTTTAAATTGTTAGTGCAAAAAAGCTTTCAAAAAGTGCTTGTGCAAATTGTCCAGTGCGTTTGGCTTCTGTGAAGGAAAGTGTTTTAATTTTTTTCTTTCCATTTTTAAAAACGAATAAATCCATCAGACATAAGCCAAAAAAAGGGTGGGGGGTGGATTTCAAAAATTAGAGTTTAGATCAAAACATGGCTTGTGTGGTATCAAATGAAAGGTAATTGAGTCTGGAATTGAATAAAATGCATTTAATTTTTTTAAGCCAGTGGCGCACAAGGGGGGATTTCAAAAATTAGAGTTTACATCAAAAAATGTCTTGTGTGGTATCATTTTTTTTTTGGCCAGTGGAGGTACCTACAATGAAAGGGGGGATTTGGTGTTAATCGTGTGAGCTTATATGCCCATAAATTGGCAGAGTATTTTTCATTTTGTTTGTCCTTCGTATTAAAATAAATTGGGTAGTTATATACAGGGCCGTAACTACGCCGGGGCAGCCGGGGCACTGCCCCGGGGCCCCAACGGTCAAGGGGGCCCCATATGAAGAGACCACATCATGTTTCATTTTTTTTTTCGAAATAAAGCACTCTAATTATATATATGTAGGAAAGAAATTGTGTTAAGATAGAGATGTTGAAAATTTTCTTTTTTGTAATTACGTACCTACTATAACATAAAGGGAAGGGTAAAAAACAGTAAAACACCTTTTCACAAAATGTTTCCCTTTCTTAAAAGAACAAACACGCTTTGCAGAAAAGGGGAAAGGCCACAGCTGAATGTAGTTGATTGCGTCAGACCCAGTGGCGTGCCAACCAGGGGGAGGCAGAGGACCCCTCTAAAATTTAATGACGGGGCAAACGATGCGTTTCGCCCCTCCTGAAATTTAGACACTCACGAAAATAAAGTCAAGTAAAATCAGTAATTTAAAAAATAAAAAAACTTTTCAATTTTGAAGCTATTTTTGAAATAGAAATCTTTATATTCCTCTAACATTTATGTGCCTTGCCTCTTTTGATATTTAGTTATTCGCCAAGACGAAGTCTAGTAAAATAGGTAATTTTAGAGGAAAAAAAAGCTATTATTTTTCAGTTCTGAAGATATACATCAAGTTATTCTGTTATGGGCGATTAATATGTTTTTTGACTTTAAAGTAAAGTAAAAGTAGAAAAAGTATTTTATTTCCAATTTTTACTCTATTTTCTTTCGAAATAGTAATGAGGGGGCGAACATAGTGTTTCGCCCCTTCTGAAATTTCAAAGTGCTCAAAAATAATAAAAATTGGTAACTAAAAAAAAAAGTCATCTTTGAATCTATTTTCCAAATAGAAAGCTTATTTTCTTCTGAAATAAAAGTGAGGGGGCGAAAAATTTGCTTCTCATAACCATCTCCTTTTACACCATGGGAAAATGACCTTTTCCTTCCTTAAATAGCCTAAATCATTTTTATGACCCTGGGCTCTTTTGTGCTTTTATAAAATGTCATATATTTACAGTACCATCTATATGTCCCTTAAGTTGTCTGAAACTAGCAATTATCTAGATGTTCTAAGAAAACGGATGTAAGCTTTTAAGGGATCCAAGGGGATGACTCTTGTTAACATTTACTTAGGTCATTTTGTCAAGAGATTTTTTCTGAGACAAACGTAAAACGTTGCAGTTAAATTCCAGTTTTTAACTCATTTAATTGCGTCATTTAAATTAACCATTTTTAATTCAGATATAAATTCTGTTACCTTTTGTTTTATTCAATTTTTGAAATTAAAATTTAACTTCAATTAAGAGTTTTTAAAATTATTTGCAACTTCATTTTTTCAAACATAAATCGTGATATCAATAATTCCCATTCTTAATAAAATTTTTCTTTGGAAAACAAGAAAACCAAATTTAAATTTATTTATAAGGAGGTAAGTAAA